CACGTTGGTAGTCCGAGGAGAATTGTACGTAGTGAAGTCCGATCCGACCTAAGAATCAGAAACTACAAAAATATAGGCTTGATTATTCTGACTAAAAAACAAATTTTGCTTGAAAAAGCATGCCATGCCCAAAACCCGACCCTAAAAAACATGGGTTGTCACATGGGCGACCCTGAGCAATCAGCCTCCCTAAAACCAATTTGAGGGCATGATTGATACATAAGTTTGCCAAGGCAAATCCGTTACCGTAATCACCCGTATATAGGCGCATATTTGCTTATAGCGATTAGGTTTAAAAGGTAACATGCGCTTGTAATTGAATAAATAATATAAGCCCAAGCGCTAATTAAAAGGATTGTTTGGAAATCAATATGAACACACCGAAATGTAGCTCATTTGATTTCGAATCCAATGCAACTATCTTCAAAAGGGGACGCATAGGAATATGGCTCGGAATATCTTGCGAAAGTTTCGCCAAGACAACCAAGCTGGTAAGGCAGGGTATGGACCAATCACAGCCAAGATAGTGATCGGGAAAAACACAAATATGCGTAGTGAGGTGCTTGGTAGGGTTGTGAGAGTGCTTGGGAAGGTTTGGCACAGAATCTCGATATGGAAGTTTTGAAGTTCACCTGTTTTTGGTTTGCGTAGCAACCTTAGACGGTCATTTTCACTGTTGGTGCACCAAAGTGTGTACCTGTTAGAATCTATGTTTGGTTGCCATATTGTCTGGTTCTACAACTACAGTTACTGTTTTCGTGTTCAAGACGATATACACGTACAATTTCTATGCATTTGTGTCAGCCACAAATGCATCCGCGATTTACCACCACTTGTGGGTGCTCGAAAAAACATGTGATTCCCACAATTCGATTGTCGATAATTATGGCGGCAAAAAATGGAACCACAAACGCAACCACAAACGCCGTATGGTATGTAGCTATTTGCAATGGATATGACACACAATGTCTTCGTTTTGCCATTCGCGCGTCGATAAATACGGCTGTAAAATTAAGGCACATCAGCGTCTCATAATCACCACCACAAATAGTTTACCGCAACAATGCAGCACAACAATAACAACATAGGCATGCAGAAAAGAAAATGCACGAAAGCATCTATGCATTTCAATCGAGATTGACATGAATGGCTGGGCACAGAATTTCTGAAGAAATATACCCAAACCGACATGCAAGATCAAATTGCGTTATGCATGTAGCTTATATGCACCACCCTATGCAACCCAACGAAATGACACGTAGATACACATGCAACAAAACAAACACCACAGGGGTACAACAAAACGACACATGGCACATGTGCATACACATCCAATATGCACAAAAAAGAAAAGGGTAAATGCAAACAAATGCTCCAACATTCACAAGTACTTCAGCCCAATCTTTATTCCCCCCTCCTTCCCACCTCTTTTCCCAACTCCCCCCCCCCCCCCCTCTCTCTACCCTCCCCTCCCTTTCCCCGCTCCTCACCCTTTGTGCCCTCCCCCCTTCCACCTCCCCTGCCTTTCCTCATACAGTTACCCTCTCTTTCTCCCATCTTTTCCACATTCCGCACAGCCGACACCCTTCTCCATAATTGTAAACAATATTCCAGAGCTCCATATGGTGACTGCATGCAAGAGTAAGAGCACAATAAAGAGCAATCAGCTGACAATGAGGCCGATTGCAAGCCTATAACAACCAAATTGTTGGGTTTGCTTGAGCATCAAGGCATGTGGCATGACGTCAATTCTCATGCATGGAATACTCTCATATCATATCCTACGATGGTAGAAACAATAGGATAATATATATAGGATCTGCTCCATGAATGCTTGTAATATCATGGAGGGATGATAAGTGAGGATAACAACAACAAAGGGGTGATACCAAGGGGTGTTTAAACATGAATTGAACTAGCATCAATTTTGCAAGGAGCAAGTGCAAAACCAGTGAGTGGACTAGTTGAGGGAAAGAAATAGTGGGGAGAGGTGCACCTAGCTGTAGCAACTCTCACCTGGAGTCGGTGGTACAGTATGCTCACTCACTTGTAGTTTTGTCGCACGTACCCTTCCTCCTCCCCCTTTTCCCCACGACGACCCGCACATCGCCACGTGCCCACACGGCCCTAGAGACATGGCTTCAGTGCGTGAGGCACCAGCGCAAAACATGATAGCACGCACGGCGCCAGCGCGCAAGGCGGGTGCGCAAAACGCACCAATGCGAACAGCGCCAATGCGCACAGCGCCAATGTGAAAGGCGCCAGCGCGAAAGGTGCCAACGTGAAAGGGGCCAGCGCGCACGGCGCCTGCGCGCACGGCGTCAGCACGAACAGGGCCAATGCGCACGACGCCAGCGTGAAATGCGCTAGGATGCACGGCCCCAACGCGAGATGCGCCAGCGCACACGGCGCCAGCGCGAAATGCGTTGGCATACACGGCGCCAGCGCGCACGGCGTAAGTGCGAAATGCGCAAACACCCATGGCGTCAGCGCACAAGGCACCAGCGCTTACTGCGCCAGAGCGAAACTCGCCAGCGTGCAAGGCGCCTGCGCGCACAGCGCCAGCGCGCACGGCGTCAGCATGAAAGGCGCCCGCGCGAAACGCGCCAGCACGCAAGGCGCCAGCCCACACGGCACCGGCACGAAATGACAAGGCTTAGGTGATAGATAAGCGTGATTAGGAGAAAGAACTAGAATAATTTAAACAAGCAAGAACAAGGCACGAGAGAAGAGGAGGAACACGTACTGCACGAGGGAGGGATAAAGAAGAAACGTGCGTAAGGGATGATCAAGAACGAGGCACAGTTGCAAAGCCAAACCCTAGCAGTGGCGTGTTCGCTGGCTCTGCCCCAGAAACCCTAGTAGGTCAGCACTGTTACTATCCCCGATATGGCAATCCAAAGCATTACATCACATAGAACACTAGACCATTTCTAAAGTAATTTACGCAACCCATCTGGCGATTTATATCGAGCCTTGTTTACAAGTTATTCAATGTGCTTATAAGGAATAGTTTTGAAGAAAAAAAGTGCGCTTGTAATGAAATAATGGATATAAGCGCGTTTGCACTTTATAAGCCCACTGGGCTTAATAGATGGCCGCGCCAAAATCTGGGTGATTACGGTATACAGCGGGTATTCCGTTATCTCCAAATCCGCGACTCACAAATATCGAGTACAACAAATAGGGGTGGTACGCTACGGGTAAACTAGATAATAGAGTAGCACAATGAATTTTAGGTGGGGTGGCGTTGGTCGATTTACTCGTTCTATTCACGATGGGTACCTTGGCGTATTGGCCACTTGGGCCAGGTTACCAGCGATTTCGTCGCGAGTCATGTGAGGGGTCATGTGGCCACTAAAAAAACGCTCAACGAATCTGTCATCTGGTCAGAAAAACGCGGACAAAAAAAGTCACACCGCGTTCTCGAACTTCCCGCAAGGAGCGCATGCTCAAAACAGGCAAAACAAATAATACATAACCCTTTTCGTGGTCTCACGAAAAGGGCTAAATGGAACGAAATTTCGACGACTAGGGGTTCCGTCAACCAACCACACGTTTTTACGAAAGCGAAAGTGACCCCCTTGAGAAAATCATTTTCGAAAATGTGCAGTTGTTAATGGTGATTGAGGGAACAAGGGTCGTGTTTTCGTATTCAGGACGGTCCCGTTCGTGTCATGAGGGAAGCCTGGATATTTACGTGATTGGTTCAAAAAAATGGAAAATGCCTCGAATGCTCTTAACACGGGGATTTGAATAGGACCGTAAGCGCAAGGCAGAATGGATGAAAATGTTTGCACTATGCACATGCCTACGTATAGCTTGCTGGTTGTCCAACTAGCGATATTTTATTGGCCGTTGGGGCGCCATCTGGATTGCGACCCCTGTTTATTGCGACTGAGTGGCATACATGGCGGTATTGGATTTCGCGAAAATAATCTACGACTTTCGTCCATACACTCTCAAATCGCAAGGAACCTCGTCAGAAATTTCATTGGCAGTGGCATTTTGCAACGTTGACCGTTCGTACTACAGTAGTTCCACGCCATATGATCGGAGTACAACATATTGGATCCTACCGAATTATGGACGGTAGGATAATATCTGGACAAAAAAGTCGAGGACTTAAAGCCCGACCGGCAGGTTGCAAGTTCTCTTTCTTCAACGTGCTGCACCTTGAGGCCCTCGTAACTCAGCAGCTGGCATCAAACTGCCAAATGCTCGCGAAGGATAACAACTAGGCAAGGCTGGGGGGCTCTCGGAACCTGACAGTGCAACCTGCCGAGTTCTTTGAGGGAAAAGATGGGAGGGGTTGGGTGGGGTTAGAAACCTGAATTTGTATTTTGCAGTGTGGGTGGGAATCGAGAAGAAAAAATGTGATTCGTATGTTTTGGGTCGCACAGTACCAAACTGTAAATGCGTCAAACAACATCCGATTTGTTTTTCTGAAATCGGTCAGGTCAAAGGGTTGCTTGTGATCGAAACAGCCAACCAGTTCTCGCCATGCAAACTTGGGAGAGGTGGCGAGGTGGCTCTCTGCAAACTGTGAGCTGCAAAACTGGCAGCCCTACTTTCATGGACTGCACATAAAGCATTTGCTCCTCTTGTGGACTCGGTCCATACTGTTGTGTGATGTCATCATATGCTATCACATTCTGTCTGCCTCCCATCTCTTGTTTCAATTCGCATGTGTGGTTTGAACGTGTGAAAGAATTTGTATGGTGTGTTCTGGAGTTTGGGAATGTGTTTTGTGTTATTTTGTTTGAGCAGGTTTTTTGTGATGATAGATCTTGAGAAGATCTTTCCGACGCAACGAGAATCCCTTCAATCGGAGCAAGAACGCGAAAGCTATGAAGATTCAAAGTTCATGAGCTTGCGTTACAATTGCGGCGGTTACAAAGTGAAGTTGTGGGGTGACTCTATATGGAGTTGGGACCTTTGGGGGTTGGGGAAATTTGTCACTCACTGTAACAGCTGCAAATTGGTTGGGAACAACCAAGCTAGGTTGGCAAGGGTGGCCAACTTGGATGGATTGGTTGGGAAGGGACAAATGTCAAAGTTGGGGTTCCTATAGGGAGGGAATCTTTGTGCTTATGGGGTTTTCTTGGTTGGGGACTCTCTTGGGACCTTCCCTCTCATCCCTCTCTTCTATCCCAACCTTTCTCTTGCTCCTCTAATTCCTTGTGAGATTCTTGAACTTTGATTGAACCTTTGAGATTGAGTTAAGTTCTCCTCCTACAGCTTACCCCCTAATGCGTCGAAAGCCATAGCGTCGCGAATACTTCATCAATCAACGTGATTCAAATTGGGAACGGTAGCTGAAATTAAGAGCTACAACATATCCAAGTTTCGCGACATTCCAACGGCTGGTTTTTTGTCGACGTCGTTTTTTGTGAAGACGACTTTTCTGTCCAGAATTTCGGATTTATATTTTGAGTAATTATAGCTCCTAAGTTCACCTAGACTCCGTCCTTAATCCTAACAAGTGGTATCAGAGCGATATTAAGGACATTGAGAGGAGTCTACAGAAGTGTGAAGACCCTTCTAGACCCACCATGGCCTGTGGGTGTGCCTAAGTGGTGTTCTAAAGGTTGAATGTGTCTTCCGCTAAGGGAAACTCTGCCGAAATTTCGTGGACGCCGATACTTGTGAAAATATCGAGGGAGCTGAGTGTGGACAGCAAAGGGGGGCTGAAATTCATCATTTCTCAAGGAGAAGATGAATGAGAGAGGAGGAGATGCTAATGGAAGAGGAGCTGTAGCTGAGAAGGCAAGTGAGCCGCCGCCATCAAAAGTTGAAGCTTTGGATGGCTCCAACTATGAGGAATGGAGCGGACGGATGAGGAGTGCCTTCAAACGCTACAAGCTACTGAAGATTGCTGTTGGGGAAGAGAAGATGCCGGAAGAAGGCGAAGCACGTGAACGGTGGATTGAGAAAAGCGCAGTGCTTTTCGACCTCATCCTTCAATCGGTCAACAAGGAGATGTTCGAGCACATCAAGGATCTTGTGGAAGCGGATGATTCGGGTCCAAGGGCGTGGAAACTACTACGCGATGTGATTCTGCCCAACACTCTCCCGATGGTGATCGTGCTCGAGAAGGAACTTGCTGCCATCTCCATGCGACCAGGGGACGATGTGAAGCCGGTCCTTGACAAGATCAAGGACACCTATGCAAGGATGGCAGCAGCGGGCAGCAGTGTATCTCAGCTGCAGCAGTGCACCAAGATCATCTCGGTGTTGGACAACTCTTGGGACAACCTCATCCCCACCCTCAACTCTCAGCAAGATCAATGGACACCTGAGTGGCTAAGGCAGCAGATTCTGCAGGAGGACTTCCGCAGACGCCATGTGGGAGGCGGTGCTGCCACTAAGACTGCTGAGGGGTATGGAGCTGCAGGGCGCGGCAGAGGAAGAGGGGGTTGGAGAGGCCGAGGCCGTGGTAGAAGCTTTGGCAGAGGTAGAGGCCGAGGTGACTATAATGAGGGGCATGGGAGCTCCAGTGGCAGGGGGAGTACCAGAATGGAGGGCACCTGCTGGTACTGCAAGAAGGTCGGGCATCCTTGGTTCAAGTGCTTCAGCAGGCCGGAGGGATGGGCACAAACAGGCATGAAGCCGCCAAGTGGTGAACGCGCACAAGGTGGCGCTGTGCAAGGCTCAGGTGCACAAGGTGAAGGTGCACAAGGTAACGCCTATCCTGGGATGTATCTCATGGTTGAGGATGTGCATGGGCATGCGGGTGATGTGGGATCTGTGGGAAAGGTTGTGATGCACCCTCTCACGCACTGGGTGATTGATTCGGGTTGCACCAGTCACATGACTCCACGGGCAGATTTGCTTGATGAGGTAAAACCCCCTGGGAAGATTAAGTATGTGGCAGCAGCATCAGGTGCTTTGCTCCCCGTGATTGGTGTTGGGAATGCCAAGGTTAAGGGAGCTAATGGGGAGCTTGTGGGGCTTGGGAATGTTCTGCTGGTTAAAGGCTTGTCTGCTAACCTTCTCTCTGTGCGGCGACTGCAGAAGAGTAAGGCCGAAGTGACCTTTGGACCAACCAGCTGCTGTGCTAAGCTTGGGAAGAAGGTGCTGTGGAGTCTGGAAGAGGAGACCAGCTGCATCAAGGACCTGTGGCAGCTGCCCATCATCCCTTGGAATGGGAAGACTCCAACAGCAGCAACGGCAGCAGCGGCAAAGGCAACAGCAGGAGGAGATGCAACTGCACCAACTGATGGGGTCCTGGAAGCAGTCAAGAAAGTGCACCAGCAGCAGACACATGGTGAGGTGCTTGCTGGTGTGGATGCGAGTGCGGCATGGGCTAAGGCTTCATCAAGGAGTGGAGAGGCCGATTGGGAGACATGGCATGAGAGGTTGTGTCATGTGAACTTCCCTATGCTGCAGAAGTTGGTGAAGAATGGGAGCCTGAAGGGCTTGGAGGTGAAAGGGGAAGTGAAGGAGATTGGGAGCTGCCCTACATGCTTGGAGACCAAGTTCTCCAAGTTCCCCTTCAACAGTGCAACAGGACCAGCCAAGACCCCACTTGCACTTGTGCACATGCATGTGGTGGGGCCCACAAGAGCCCCTTCCCTCTCAGGCAGCCGCTATTTCTTGACAATTGTGGATGACCACACTCGGGCAGTGTGGGTTTACCCTCTGAACAGCAAGGGGGAGGTGGCAGCGGCTGTCCTTAAGGAGTGGATGCCTAGAGCTCAGAGGGAATGCGGACACAAGGTGAAGGTGATCCGCAGTGACAATGGTGGGGAGTTCATTGGAGCTGATTTTGAGGGGGAGTTGAAGAGGAAGGGGATCCAACATCAACTGACAGTGCCCTACAATCCGCAGCAGAATGGCGTGGCTGAGAGGTTCAACAGGACCCTGCAGGAGGGGGCACGCACTCTCCTTGGGCGTGCAGGGCTGCCTGATCCGTTTTGGGTGTCTGCACTGAGGCAGGTCGCCCTTGTGAAGAATAGGGTGCTGGCTACAGTTGGGGATAAGGAGTGGATCCCATATACCAAGTGGTATGGGAGTGCTCCAGCTGTGAATATGCTGAGGGCATTTGGGTGCATGGTAGTGTTTCATGTGCCTAAGGAGAAAAGAGGGAAGTTGGAGGCTTCTGGAAGATGGGGTGTGCACTTGGGGATTGCAAAGGATCACAAGAGATGGCTGCTATGGGACTTGACCACCCAGAAGCTGACAGTGTCAAGGGATGTGAAGTTTCTTGAGTCCCTGTACTACAAGGAATGGAAGCAGCAGCAACAGAAGCTTCCATCTACACCACTCATTGTGGAGGCAGATGAGTTGCAGCAGCCTTCAACACAGGTGGAGGTTGCAGTGTCAGAGGAGGAGATGTCTGGGGTGACTAAAGAAGGGGGAGCAGCTGAAGTGGAGCAGCAGCAGCAGCAACATGAGTCTCCACCTCGAGTTCCACACCCGCCTGAGCGACCTAGGAGGGATGTGCGCCCTCCTGTGAGGCTGACCTATGGGGGAAGAGGCAAGCCAAATGTGGTGCAGGCTGGGAGTGTGGCTGAGCAGATTGAGGAAGATGAGATCGCTCACTGCTACTGGGAACCAATCCCTGAGCCCAAGACTCGAGAGGAGGCCTTGAATGGACCAAATGGGGAGAAGTGGAAGGCGAGTGAGGATGAGGAGTTCGCGTCCCTGATTGAAAACGAGACATGGGACCTGTGTGACTTGCCTCCTGGGAAGAAGGCAATCACTTCCAAGATGATCTACAGGCACAAGTATGGACCTGAAGGGGAGCTGACCCGCTACAAGTCTAGGCTTGTGGCACGGGGGTTTCAGCAGACAAAGGGGAAGGACTATGATGAGGTGTTTGCTCCTGTGGGGAAAGGAACAACACTGAGGGTGCTGTTGGCGATAGCTGCACTCCTGGGATGGAAGATACGGCAGATGGACATTGTGACTGCCTTTCTGAATGGGATCATTCTGGAGGAGGTGTACATGAAGCAGCCAGAGGGGCTGGATGATGGGAGCGGCAGGGTCTGCAGGCTGAAGAAGGCCATCTATGGCCTTAAGCAGGCGCCTCGTGCATGGTATCACAAGTTGGAGGAGGCGCTGTTGGCTGGGGGTTTCAAGAAGAGTGAGTGTGACCCCAGCCTGTTCCTGCTGCAGGAGAATGATGAAATCCTCATGCTCTTGGTGTATGTGGATGATATCCTTCTCTTTTCTGCATCAACTGCTTTGCTGGACAGCGCAGAGCAGATGCTGGAGATGCAGTTCAAGTGTTCCAAGATGGGTGAGGTGAAGTACTACTTGGGGATGCATGTGGAGAGAGATGTGGAGAAGGGTGTGCTGAGGTTGCACCAGAGAAAGTACTGTGAGGGGCTGGCTGAGAAGTATGGGCTGCAAGATGGGGGAAAGCCAGCAACACCACTACCTTCGGGGTTCACTGTGGAGCCATGTGCTGATGAGGAGGTAGTGGGTGATAGTGACAGGAAGCTATTTCATTCGATGGTTGGGTCGCTGAATTATGCTGCAAATCATACACGGCCTGACATTGCATTTGCTACATCACGATTGGCTAGTGTGGTCTCACGCCCTAGTCATGAGCAGCTGGAAGCGGCCAAGAGGTTGGTCCGCTATGTGAGCGCTACGGCATCAGTGGGATTGGAGTACAGTGGAGTGAGGCAGCGGTTGCAGAGAGGTGCTGCAGATGTGAAGAGTGGAGAGATGCTCTTGAGTTGCTATACTGACGCTAGCTTCAACTTAGTGAAAGCGGATGGCACCAGCATTGGGGGTTATGTGTGCTTGCTAGGAGGTGGTGCTGTGAGCTGGCGCAGCAAGAAGCAGAATGAGGTGGGATTGTCCTCATGTGAGACTGAGTACATGGCCTTACACCATGGGGCCAAGGAAGTGGTGTGGCTGAGGCGCTTGTTGGAGGAGTTGGGAGTTGGTCAGGAGGAGCCGACAGTTGTGTTATGTGACAATGAGTCTGCTGTGAAGCTCGCCAAGAATGCTTGTCTGCATGGGCTGACAAAACACATAAGGCCTAAGTGGCACTGGGTGAGGAGACTCCTTGATAAGGAGGTGCGGCTGGAGATAGTGAAGACCCATCAGCAGGCAGCAGATATTTTCACCAAGCGTCTGGCGGAGGCGGATCATTGGAAGGGCATGAAGCTTGCTGGGATGAGTGTGCATTGAGTATGCATGCTTGAGATGTTGGTATGGTGGATGATGGTTGGCAGCCAGAGGGGGAGATTGTTGTGTGATGTCATCATATGCTATCACATTCTGTCTGCCTCCCATCTCTTGTTTCAATTCGCATGTATGGTTTGAATGTGTGAAAGAATTTGTATGGTGTGTTCTGGAGTTTGGGAATGTGTTTTGTGTTATTTTGTTTGAGCAGGTTTTTTGTGATGATAGATCTTGAGAAGATCTTTCCGACGCAACGAGAATCCCTTCAATCGGAGCAAGAACGCGAAAGCTATGAAGATTCAAAGTTCATGAGCTTGCGTTACAATTGCGGCGGTTACAAAGTGAAGTTGTGGGGTGACTCTATATGGAGTTGGGACCTTTGGGGGTTGGGGAAATTTGTCACTCACTGTAACAGCTGCAAATTGGTTGGGAACAACCAAGCTAGGTTGGCAAGGGTGGCCAACTTGGATGGATTGGTTGGGAAGGGACAAATGTCAAAGTTGGGGTTCCTATAGGGAGGGAATCTTTGTGCTTATGGGGTTTTCTTGGTTGGGGACTCTCTTGGGACCTTCCCTCTCATCCCTCTCTTCTATCCCAACCTTTCTCTTGCTCCTCTAATTCCTTGTGAGATTCTTGAACTTTGATTGAACCTTTGAGATTGAGTTAAGTTCTCCTCCTACAGCTTACCCCCTAATGCGTCGAAAGCCATAGCGTCGCGAATACTTCATCAATCAACGTGATTCAAATTGTGAACGGTAGCTGAAATTAAGAGCTACAACATATCCAAGTTTCGCGACATTCCAACGGCTAGTTTTTTGTCGACGTCGTTTCTTGTGAAGACGACTTTTCTGTCCAGAATTTCGGATTTATATTTTGAGTAATTATAGCTCCTAAGTTCACCTAGACTCCGTCCTTAATCCTAACACATACTTTCGTGGACAACCGGCATACTTCCATGGACACGCGCGAAATTGCAGTAAAAAAACGTAATCAGAACTGTACATGCTGTGACGAGCGGAAAAATAAAATGGAAACATGCATCGCAAACCTTCGTGAGCTACAGTGCCTCATACCAAATCATGGAAGCAGAATGCAGCAATAATGGAAGTGGTAATTACGATTAATTCGAATGTCGAAAGCTATATATACATTATTCATGTTAATAGATTGAATTTCATGTGAGTTGTTGCTATCTGATTTAATGACAAGATTTAGCCCGCTGCTGATGATGTACCCTGGTATCTGTCAACTTATACATATGCTGTATGCAGGAGTTATAGGCTAGCCTAGGTGTGTGCTTCTAGTGATTACAACCCCAACAGGTAAATGTTCTAGGTTTCTCACACTAGTCCATTCGTTCTCTCTTTCTAACATGGTATCATGAGTAGGTTCGGTTCCTCTCGCCCGCCCACGCTTCCACCCTAGGCCCTAGCCGCCCTCGTCGCGTCCGCCCCTAGCCGGCCCCCTGGCCGTCGCGTCCGCCCCTAGCCGGC